TCCCCTGTCTTGTAGCTTCAACTCATTTCTTGGGGAAATTGTCCCAGAATTAGAAAACTGCTTAATAAATTAACTTCTGTTTTTCAGGATGTACCTAGAGCAGCCATGCTACCCAATCCCACACTGCAGCTTCCATGGGATCCTCTGCTGGCATCTGTTCTGGGGTGGTCAGCAGCCAGAGGTGATGGCCTGGAGATGTGGTGATGCTGGAGGTAAAGCTGGTGGGGAATCCAGGGAAGGGAAAGCTGGTGGGGAATGCAGAGAAGGGAAAGCTGGTGGGGAATGCAGGGAAGGGAAAGCTGGTGGGGTGTCAGGGGAGATGAGACTCCATCCCCTGCAGTCCCAGGGAGACCTGGCATGGGCAGGACCCTCTGGCTCTTGAGCCCCAGCTCAGCGTGGCCTCGGGAATGTGCCCCTGGAGCCAGGATCCAGGGGATTTCCAAGTGCTGCCCACTGACCCTGCTCCTCAGTGCCTCTGGGAAGGCTCCATGGCTGCCTACACAGGGACTTCTCCTTCTGGAAGTTGTGCTTTTCCCCATGAAGTCTGGAACCTTCCCTGCTGCTGGCTGGGTTTCCACGGTGGATTCTGGGTTCTGTCCCACTGCCAAGGTCACCCGAAATCCCTCCTGCTCTGGGGTGAGCCCTTGGCAGCTCTTGGCCCCAGGTTTCACCCCATCCTGGAGCTGGGGGCTCTGCCTGGGAGTGCCCTTGGAGCCCCAACTTGGAGCTGTAAGATCTCTGACTTTTTTCCTTGCCTTCTTATCTCTCTCTGTTTGATGCTTCTTAATTTACGGCAGCAAAGCCTAACGGAGATCCTTAACTGCACAGCTGCAATGCAGCAGGGAAATAGGCAGCTCTTTCCCCCCTCCCAGGCCCTTTTCCATCTATTTTCCTATTTTAAAAATTACAATTTTTAATGTATCACTTCCCAGTCCTCCCAACTTTCTGTAGGCACTTAGAAATATCAGCTGGCAAATACAGAGAGATGCTCCCAGACCTCCCCGTCTGCCCAGAACTCATTTGTGCTCCATAAAAAATTAGGCTTTTATGCTGGGGGAAGATGCTAATTCCCTGGAGTCCTTGCATTGCCCAGGATTTTTTTTCCAACCAGTCAAACTCAGTAACAAACATAAAATATTGCTGAGCAGCTCTTTGGGTTTAATATTCATCTGGCAGCTCCACTGGCTCCTGCTCCTTCTTGCTTCCCTACAGACCTTGTTCCCACACACAGCAACACCTTGTAGGTGTGGAGACATGGAACTGCTCATTAATTACGCCCAGGGTTAGATGCCTGGCAGGAATTAAGTGCTGGAAGGCTTGGAATGGCCTTTTTGAGATCAAGAGAGTTGGCTGGGGGCAGGGGAGGAGCAGAACCGTGGGCAGGCTCCTGTGGGTATCTCGGCAAACCCGGCTGCTGAGTGAAGGAACAACAGACACTGAAGGTGTCTGAATTGCTCCAACACGTGAGAGAGACAGTCAGGGTCTCCCCTGAGCTCCAGGGCACCCCGAAGTGTGAGTCCAGAGGTCTGAGGAGGCAGAGGAGACCTCGCTGGGTCCCTCCTCCCCCAGAGCTGCTGCAGCGAGGGGAGGGGGGGAACTTGCCAGTTTTGAAT